TCAACACTCTTCTCCAGCACCACAGCTCAAAGGCATCAATTCTCCTTCTGTCATCCCTAGTCACTGTCCAACTCTCTGATGCATAGCACATAATTACAAAGACTGTAGCCTTGATCAGGCACACCTTAGTCTCCAGCCTGATGTCATTGCTCTTCAGTACTCTTGAGAGGTCCATCACAGGTGACTTTCCCAGTGCAATTCATCTCTTTATTTCCTGGCTGCTGTTGCAAAGAGTGTTGACTGTGGAGCCAAGTAAACTACAACTATTAACTATCTCAATCTCTTCACCATCCGTACTGATGCTGCCAATTGGCCCAGTGGTAAGAATCTTTGTTTTCTTGATGTTGAGCTTCATTCCTTATTGAAGGCTGCAGTCCTTGACCTTCTGCAGCAAGCACTTCAGGTCCTCCTCAGTTTTAGCAAGCAGGGTTGTGTCATCTGCATAATGCAGGTTGTTGATGACTCTTCCACCAATGCTGATACCACATTCCTTCTCGTACTGCCCAGAGTCTTGGATGATCTGTTCTGCATATAGATTGAAAAGGTGTGGAGACAAAATATATCCATGATGGACCCCCTTCTTGATTTTGAACCATGTAGTGTCTCCCTGCTCTGTTCTGCCGACTGCCTCTTGATCCAAGTATAGGTTTCACATTAGCACAATCAAATGTTCTGGGATTCCCATTCTTCTCAGAGTCAGCCATAGCTTGTTATGCTCCACACAATCAAATGCACAGATCAGTGAAGCACAGATAGACATTCTTCTGGTATTCTCTGCTTTCTGCCAAGATCCATCTTACATCAGCTATAATATCCCCAGTACCACTACCTCTTCTAAATTCATCCTGCACATCTGGTTGGACATATTGCTCCAGTCATTTTTTTATAAATTTTGGATAATTTTCAGCAGAATCTTGCTTGCATGTGATTTAGATATTGTTCCATAATTTCCGCACTCATCTTTCTTTGGAATGGGAGCAGATATTAATCTCTTCTAGGCAGGAGCATGGTGGTGGGAGTCGTCTATGACTCGACGGCATTAAACAACAACAACAGTCAATTGGTCAGCTGGGTGTCCTCCAGATTTCTTGGCACAACTTAGTGAGCACATCCAGGGCAGTGTCTTGTTTGTTGAAATATGTCAGTTGGTATGCCATCAACTCCTGGAGCCTTGTTTTTTGCCAGTTCCTTCAGAGCAACTAGAACTTCCTCCTTCATCACAACAGGCTCTTGCTCATAGGTTATTTCATGAAATTATTCTATGTCTGCCAATTCCTTCTGATATAGTGATTCTGTGTACTCCTTCCATCTTCTTTTAATGCTTCTTGGATCATTTAACATTCTACCAAAAGTATCCTTAAGTATTGCCACCCATGGCCATGGCTTAAATTTGTTTTTCAACTCCTTCAGCTTAAGAAACACTGAGCGAGTCCGACCCTTTTGATTTTCTGACTCTAGCTACACATTTCATTATAGTATCTTGCTTTGTTGTCCTGAGCTGCCTTTTGACATTTTCTGTTCAGCTCTTTGTTTTCTTGGTTGCTTCCTTTAGCTTTGGCTTCTCATTGCTCTAGTGCAATATTCAGAGTCTCATCTGACATCCATCTTGGTCTTTTCTTCTTTCTCAGCCTTTGTAATGACCTTTTGCATTCTTCATGGATGATTTTCTTGATATCCTCCCAGAGCTCATTTGGTCTATGCTCATTGGTGCTTAAGGCCTAAAACCTGTTCCTGAGATGGTGTTGAAATTTGAGTGGGATAGAATGAAGGATAAATTTTGGCTCCCGTGGATTTTATTTCATTTTCCTCAATTTCAGCTTGACCTGGCCTGGTTTTCACAGCTGATATTGAGCTTCTCCAGCGAGTCTTTCCACAAATGTAATCAATTTGATTCCTGTGCATACCATCAGGTAAAATCCATGTGTATATATAGCTTGTGTTTATGTTTCTTATAAAAGGTATTTGCAATGAATAAGTCATTGAATGTGCAGAGTAGCGTTCCTTTCCCCCACTATTATTTGAAATCATGAAGAAGGTTCAGTCCACAGTGTTGACGTAGGAAGTCTGGCCATCTACAAGTCACCGTGCCATACCTGTTTCATTTGATTTTCACAGCCACCTTAGTGGTGGGGCATGCCTGCTCCATGACTGACTTCATGGTTAGTCCTACATCGTTCCATTAGTGATCTTTCTTACAGTGTGTTGTTTCATTTTGGTTTGGTTTTTTTCCCCCTCTATGGGTTTTTGGTGAAGTGCAAAGCAAGGTGGAAGGATTGAGAATTAGGAAGCCCAAGTAAGGACTTTTCTATTTTCCTGCCAAATGGTGAGTATGCTGCCAGAATACTACAGAAGATAGGCTGTCATCTCTGAGCATGAGCACGGTGTGGCCTCTCTCAGTCAGCAGGAGCATAGGTGATCCTCTGAAAGGGTGTGTTCTCTGGCCAAGGGCTGCCTTGTTCCAGGTTAACAGCCTGGAAGCCCTGTTTGAGAGATATCTCTCCCCTCCTGGGAGCGATGGAGCTGAACAGCAGAGCGGTGTTTCCCTTTTAATGGGAGCTATTGTGAAGTCTTTGTCCCACACCAGCTTTTTGGAACTTGTGCTGGCCCGCCAAGTAGGAATGATTCATGACACGGATCCATAGGTGTTAAGACCAATCGGAGTTCATACAGCCTAGGGCATTGGCACCTGCGCTGACCAGCTCAGTTTGGCCCTCCAGTGCATGCTGGCCCACAGCTAAGTAAGTGAGAGAGTAAGGCTTTTCCTTGCAGAGGGTCTGTGTTCTAATGAGACCCACTTCTCAGAAGGTACTCTGAATTCAGTTGTTTGCTTTATTACAGTGACTAATGGGAAAGGAAGACTTACAAGGCACACTTGACTAGTGAAAGGTTGAGAGTCCCTAGGCTTAGGTTTGGGACCTGCTGTTACTATCACAGCTGGTGGTCTCTAGCACCTCCACCCTCCAGGCACACTAAGACATCTCATCTCATTGCTTGTCCTCATCCTTCTGATACATTGGGAATGTGGAGACTAGAAGGAAGAGACATGAATTACTTAGCAAGGGAGTTCTGGTGGCTTAGTGGTTCTAAACGAGCTGTGCTGCCAACTGGAAGGCATGAGGTTTAAATCCATCAGCAGCTTTGTGGGGAGAAGGATGGACAGTCTCCTCCTGTGCCATTTACTGGCTCTGGAAACCTGCTGGAGAGCAAGCTATGAGTTGGTTCCAGCTCAGGTACCTCGGTCAGTGAACCTGTAGAAAAGTTGGGCTCTAATTCAGGCCACTCTGCACGACCACCTTGGGCTACTCTGTGGGTTGCTGGGCAGTTCAGGCGAGGACTTGGCACTGTGGTTGAGTGTATGTGACCCCAGGATGAAACAATCTCTGTTCTGGCTTTCCTGTTTGTCTGCCCCGAGCTTCAGCAAAAGGTTTGGGTGTCACTGTTAATTTACACTGACCATTCACCAGGTTGGAGTCCCACTGTGTAGATGGGGTTGGGATCCCATTTAATGTTCTCCTTCTTCACTAATAACTTGTGTAATGATATTTATGTGCATTTCTCACCTACACTAAAGGTGGTTTCTTTTGTTTCCACAACATTGTGGAGCAGTAGGCATGCATATGCCCCCTCCACAAAGCCTGCTGTTTTTGTGCTTTGCACCAACAGAGAATGGTGGCTTGTGTTTGTGTGTGTCAGTTGAGGTGTGAGGGAACTTCTCGAAAACACTGACATGTGGTATTTTCAAATCATCATTTCTTGGGCTCTGCTTTCCTGGCAGGACGACAGCGCTGATCTTAAGTGCCAGCTCCAGTTTGCCAAAGAGGAAGCCTCCCTGATGCGCAAGAAGATGGCTAAGCTGGGTCGAGAGAAGGACGAGCTGGAGCAGGAGCTCCAGAAGTACAAGTCCCTGTACGGCGACGTGGACAGCCCCCTGCCCATGGGGGAGGCCGGCGGACCGCCCAGCACCAGAGAGGCCGAGTTGAAACTGCGTCTTAAGTTGGTGGAGGAAGAAGCTAACATCTTGGGCCGCAAGATTGTCGAGCTGGAAGTGGAGAATCGAGGCCTCAAAGCAGAGATGGAGGACGTGAGAGGCCAGTATGAGCGCGAATGTGCGAGCAGGGACCACCCCCCAAGCATTCCTACCTCACCCTTCGCAGAATCGACTGAATCTTCATCAGAGCTCCGCCGGCACCTCCAGTTTGTGGAGGAGGAGGCAGAGCTGCTCCGGAGGTCCATCTCTGAGATAGAGGACCACAACCGGGAGCTGGTGCACGAGCTGAGCAAGTTCAAGGTGGAGCCGGGCCGGCCTGCGGAGGGCACCGGGCTGGCGCTGCAGGAGGAGCTGCGCGCGTCGCGGCTGCGGGTCGGCGAGCTGAGCGCCAAGGTGCTGCAGCTGCAGGCGGAGAACCGCACGCTGCTATCTGGCGCGCAGCGCCACGAGCTGGCCGCGCACTCCCGCGACAGCGACGCTGAGAGTGATGCAGGAAGGAAGGAAAGCGATGGTGAGGACGGTCGGCAGCCGCGGAGGGAAGGCCCAATTGGCGGAGAAAGTGACTCGGAGGAGACCTACGAGAAAACTTCGAGCTTTGGGAGCGGAAAGCCCTCGGAAGCGGGCGAGCTGGGCCCTGGCGCCCTGGCGCGTGCGCAGAACTCAGAGTGCCTGGTGAGCATAAAGCAGGAGGTCGAGCGACTGGGGCGTACGGTGGAGCGCCTCCTCTCGGACACTGAGAGCCTCATCTGTGATGCCAAGCTGCACCCCTCGGAGCCCGGCGGCCAGGGCAGCTGGAAGGAGCCTGACCTCATGGGCACCGTCAACTCCAAGATGAAGGCGTTCCGGAAGGAGCTCCAGGTCTTCCTGGAGCAGGTGAACCGCATCAGGGACGGCATGAGGGAGCATCTGGAGCACCTCGCCCCCCTGTCCCAGCTCACAGAGTCGTCCAGCTTTCTGTCCACTGTCACATCCATGTCCCGGGATTCCCCGATCGGGAACCTGGGGAAGGAGCTGGTGGCGGACCTGCAGGTAAGGGGGCTCCTCGGCTTGCCGCCCCGCTCCGCCCTGCTCTTCCTCCTGCTGGCTGGCATTGCTGCGCTCGAGCTCACCCTCCTCACCGCTGCTTGGTTGTGATTTCAGCCGCCCTCTACTAAAACCCAGGCTCAACTAGAGCCTTTCTACTGGTTGAGGTTCTTCTTCCCCTACCCCCTTCTTCAGTTCTCTTTTGGTTTTATGTTTCTTTTGCCCTTTTTCCATCTCACTTTCAAGAGCAACAGAGTCCCTGCTCTAGAGGTCTTTCCTCATGGCGCAAGGCTAATCCCAGTGGAAGTAGTAGGGATTGATGCAGTCTGTTGGCACTGCTTGGTGTCGCAATCAGCCAGCTACCTGATGAAGAAGCACTGAGGAGTTTTAAGTACAAGCTGGTAACAGAGTCAGTGTAATTAGCAGAGCTTCCAGTGAGCACTGGAATCCCTACTTGGGTTTATTACCAAAAGGGACAGAGTTCTGAAGGGTTCTGGCTGCCCAGGCCGGCCCCTTCCACAGAAGATAAGCCAAAATGAAGGACAGGAGGATCTTAACAATGAGGATCCTGACAAGAGGGTTTTCATGGAAAAGCTTGCTGACTGCCTGCCTCCAATGGAGCGGCCACGAGGACTGCCTTCTACTGCCACCCTTGGGCGCATGACCAGCGGCCACCCCGGATTGGCTTTTGCTGCTGACCCACAGGAAGGAAGGAGTGCTTGTGTCTGTATCCTTCACGGGTAGTATGCTTGCGATTGGTTCTCTGATTTATACACCCTCATTGCATGCGCCTCATCAGCAGTGTTTTACATTCTTTACCCGCTTTTTCCCCTTTGCTTCTCAGATGTCTCTGCCGTTTTTTTTGCTCATCTTCATTTTGGTTCTGTCTCTTCGCTCTCTCATGCCACTGTATTTGTTTTTTCTGTACATGCTTTTCTTCATCTGGTGATTTCCATTCTTACCCATTTTTGTTTTGTTTATCCTTCCTGCTTCCCACCCTGTGGCCCTTTGTTTTTGTTTAAAATAAAAAAAAAAACAACAATCAACCAACCACCCCAAAATCCTTCCCATTAACCTAACAGTCCAAACTGAGAGATCAGCTCGAGTGGCCACCCAGCAAGGACCACAGGGAGCAGCAAGGGGACCCACACCTTCTAGGAGGCTCCGAGCTACAGCGCAGAGCTGATGGGGATGCCAGCCGCTTTCGGACCCCAGACAAGACCTGTCTCAATCTGGAGGTGAGTCCTTGGCCACTCCGCTGAGCAAGCCGTGAGGCTGTTAGACCAAGCTGTTACTAGGTATTACCCAGGACCCTGCCCTGGACTCTAGGTCCATCTCAGACAACTAAAGATTGGAGGATCTGAATGGGGTGTACGTGGGCAAGCTGTCAGACCCTCGTGGCACCTGACTACAGCTCTCCTGCCTTTGCCATGTGTCTTCAGGCCCATCTGCCTGGAAAGATCTGGAAATAGATGACATACCATAATCAGGCAGTAGCTTCTTGTCAAATTGTAGGGACTGTGGGGATGAAAACAAAACCAAGTACTATTTTTCTATGCTTTTCCAGTACACTTATCCCTTTGTATCTAAACTAGGTAATGGGCATACTGGGAGCAGTCCTCTCTTGCCTGGTGGAATCTTCTTCAGTCTCTGTCTCTATAGTAACCTCGTGTCACTAAAGCACCATAGACACTGCCATTGTTAGGAAACAGTTGTCAATAGTCATGTGAATGAAAGCTCTTAGGTGCAAGTAATTCCACCCAGGAAGACAACTGCTGCCTGCATGTTGATGTTGGTAGTCAAGGCCAGTTATTGGTAGCTTTAGAGCAACATGTTCTAAATTAGGAAAGGATGATAACAATTCTAAGACATTGACAAAGATTCCTATCTTGCTGGGCCTAATGGGCATATGAGGACTTGGTCTCAAGGAAGTTCTGGAAGGGCAGAGCCAGGTATAAGGGGATGTGGGACTCTGACAACTAGACCTCACCAGAGCTTGCTCGGTAGGAAAGCCAAGCCTTGGAGAGGGCAACCATGGTGCCTTCTACTTAGTTTGCTGCTGATGGCCAGGAGAGGCCAGATCTGCTGTTAGGTCTGCTATAAGGGCCGCGGTACAGGAGGCCTACAGCCTTGCCCAGGCGTGAGGATCAGTATCTCCAGTTGGGAGCTTTTCCCCCCTCATCCTCTGCAAGGGTCTGATTCATCTCTGCCTTTATGATTGGGCATGCAATCACAATTACAACAGTCCATGAAGATAGCTTAAGTAGAAAGAAGAAAATTTCTAGAAGCAGCTGTGCCAGTCCCAACATCCTGCTCTGCCTGGCACACCTGATATGCAGCCTGTAGGTTCACAGATCAGGAGGAAGTAAAGGAATTAGCCAGGGGGGGGCCAAGTCCAAGGTGTGACCTAGCTGTGGTCCTAAGCCCTCCAGTTCGACCAGAACCTTGAGAGAGTAAACCCCTTGGAAGCTTTTAGGTCCCAGGAGAAGCAGTTGTCATTAAAAATGTTTCCTGAACATTGTCAGTGGATGTGGAATTAGATGTGTATTTCAGCATACCAGTGGTACTGTTTTTGCTCCAAAGGTAAGATATTCTTAGGGTTGTTTTGTTTTGTTGAAAGGAAACTCATTCCCTGCATCAGTTTAGTGAGTGAATGTGCTTTGTCACTTGCTAGAACTTTCACAGAAAGCACCCTTCTTTAGCCTGTGTCCCAGGCATGATCTTAGTCTGCAAATGATCATTGCTAGTGGGTTAGCACATGCTCAGTTAGGTGCTTTTCAAGTGGCCTGGCTGCACCGTGTACAGGAGGGAAACCTCAGGAAAGTTTCTCAGCCTTCAGTTCTCAACTTTGTGCCACGACACTGCTTCTAAAAGGAGAAATAACACTAATTAGCAGTTAAGTATCCTTTGTTCTAATACATTTGTTGCTTACAGAAGAAAAAACTCAATTATGTCATCTCCTTACAGCCTTGAAAAAACACCGAAGGGACAGCTAGGGGTTGGTTCTGACTTGATGGCATGAGTTAATGAGTTTATATTTTATAATATGTTTAAAAGGGAAACATATCCTAGGGCCACCTGGAATAGCCAGTTTTTCCTCGATATGCTGATTGACTCCATGTGCTGGAGCAGAGCTGTGCCTCAGAGCCTGCTCTGTGGAGGAGCCAAAGGGAGCCCTCTGTAGCCTGTTAGCTGCTGATCAACACAGACACCTGCCTTGTCCTGGATGAGGTCACACAGCCTTACCACTTTGATCTCCAAATACTATACTGAGTTAACAAATTGTGTAAGTCTTCTGCTAGGAAGAACTCTTAAAATCCTTTCAAGTTAAAAATCTCCAAACTTAGTTTCCTCAGAGTAATGCAGTTCTAATAGACACTCTCCTTTGAGGTTACTATTGAATCAGTATATGAGATGTCCATGGATTAGTGGAGCACAGAACCTGGGTGTGACTGTTCCCAGAGCAGGCATATAGCCATTGTGACCCAAGTTGAAGCCAAGGCTCCAGCCAGCTGCTCTCCGTCCTTCATATTACAGTCATCGCCCTGTAAACCACCTTGTTTGATCCTCACACCAGACTATCAGTGAATTTTTTCCACTCGTTGTGCCAGGTAGGTGCCTGAGGTGTGGTGTATAAGATAGTTGAGATTAACAGCATAGAATAAGAAATTGAAATAATTTATTCTTGAAAATAGTGTATTCATTTTGTAAATAAGCTAGTTGTTGTTGTTATGTACCATCGGGTTGCTTGCGACTCATAGTGACCCTATGTGCAAGAGCTCTAAATGCTGTTTTATCCTGTGCCAACCTAGCCATCTCAAATGCACTTATTCCCACCACTCCAGTCGCAGAATCGATCTCTCCTTCGCCGCCCCTCCACTCTGCCAAACATGATGTCCCTCTCCAAGGACCAGTCCCTCCTTGCAACATGCCCAAAGTATGTCAGACGAAGCTTCAGAATC